CTTCTTCCTCTAGTAGCTTGTACCTCAGGCTAGCTCCTTCCTGGCCTAGTCCTATTCTGCTCCTTCCCCTGGAGGGGTCCTTCCCAGCCGTGGCATACTGGGGGTCCAAAGTCTCTTCCTGAGGTCTCCAACTTCCCTGCTTCCATCTTGCTGAACTGAATTTACCTTAAAAGGTTGATTTTGGGGGTGTTTTTTATACTGATTGTCCTACGTGTCAGAATTGCTAGTGATTGCTTTGCCAATCTTTTCCCCCCTCTTTAAAAGCATCCGGTCTCTAGGACCACTTTCACCAGAGATCTCTGGTTTATTTCTAGCTATTTCTTAATAGTTGTTGATTACACAAGGTCTGCTTTGTAGCATTCCCAGGCATATGATTGTGATTGTGTTTGCCACAGAACTGGGAGCTTCTTTTGACCACATCTGAATGGTATAATTATTGGGATTGGTTGGACTCTTGCAAGCTGCCCCCATTTTTTTGGCTTGCCAGGCAGCTGTGAGTATGGTGACCATCATAAGAGTTGCAGTTGGCTTTTAAGCTATGTTCCCACCCACATATACACTATTATTGTTTGGCTATCATTTCTCTGTACAGCTGCATCTAAAAGGAATGTCAATGTCCTATATTGAATTACTTCTGATTAGGTTTTCTATTTTGTGTATGTTTGAACATGTGGGGTGATGCTACAAAGAAATCAAGATCTTATGCCCTCTAAGGGAGTTCTGAATGCACTCAATTTAATTAAATATCACCCTGTTGTGGTGGTGTACAATGACTCTGATCATTTGGGAACATAAGGTCAAGAATTCCAGATCACAAAGCTGGCAGTGTTGAATATACCACAGATATCACTTACTCTCAGAGATCCTTACCCTTGGAATAGACTGACACTAACCAGCTCCAGAACTGGGCTTCCCAATTTATCTCTAAACCTGGTTGCAGTTCCAACTTTTGCCGTTCTTCAAGATGGGCGAAGTTATCAGATATATGGAGACATTTTATTTGCACATGTGACCTATTTTAAGATAATTGGCAATTCAGAAAACACTACCATGAATAAACGACCTTCCCAGGAGGTAAGTCATTAGGGTTCCAGAGGTAAGCACGGATGTGCACAGTAGCAGAGTGGTAACAATGATGGGGCAACTGAAGCTTTGTCTCAAAGTGCCAAAATTTAGAGATTGGTAACAGTGCTTGTAGTCCTTCAGCAACATAGAAACAACTGAGCTTAGCACTGAGTGAGCAAGACTGATGAGTTAAAATAGGAAACTACCAGATATCAGGTTTCTTCCCTCCCTCCATTTAAATGTGCTTGCATCCATGCCCCCTCAAGTGAATTGTCTTTAAAAAGTTGATTTAAGAGTGCATTTTATGCTGTTTGTCATGGACACAAAAATTGCTGATTATGGCTCTGTGTAGTATTTTAGAGAGCCTGGAGTAGGATGCCAAAGTTATTTTATAGGAATATAGTACTTAGAGCTGAAAGTGACCTTAGACATCACCCAGTACAACTCCCTTATTTACAGATGAGGAAAATGAAGTTTACAGAGGAAAATGACTTGCTCAAAGTCACATGGTGACTTAGTAGCAGATTATGAACTAGAACCCATGATCTCTGGGCTCCCAGTCCAGTGTACTGTGTTATGTAATATTCTAAATTTGAGATACCAGGATGTACTTTCTACTCATTGTATGGAGGAAACAATATGTTAAACAGGCAAGAAAATGACAGTTTGGGGTTCTAGGTGGATCATGTCCCGATTCTTTAGGGACACTTTGCTGTTGGTATGATTGAGACTCTGTGTCTTCTGATATGATACTTGGTGTTCCCTTTACCAGCAGGGCCTCAGGAAATTTCATTAGGATTGGATAATAACATTTAGTGCACTGTGACATTCTGCTGCATATCAGATGGTCCTTCTTCCGACCGTAGATTCTCAATAAAATCAATAGCATGAGCCCCAGCTTTCCCCTCTGGGACCACATTAATCTTCACATTTTTGCTACATCACTGATTTTCATGACAGCTCAAGATGTCTTTCTGCTTCTGAGTATCCCTTATATTAAAAGACTTTTGGGTCCCACAGACTTGTTAACCAGTAGTCCCTTGGGTTTCACCCCTTGCCTTTCCATTTTCTCAGCTATGTTGCTGCTTCTTTGGCTCTCCCACAAGTCTTTCCACATCATTCATCTTGACATTTAAAAGTTTCCAAGCTTGTTCTCAGATGACACAAACACGGCCTAATTTTGGAATGCAGAGAATCCCACGACGAGGAGGAAGGGAGGGCTTGCTTCAGAAAAGGGATAGAGAAGTAGCCCATACCTTCGGAAGGAAGGTTCCTATGAAGACTGAGGCTAAGCTCCTAAAACATGTGCTGCAAATGCGGGTTGGAGGAATTGCTGACACTCAGTTTGTTTCTCTTCAGCTACGCCCCGGGGAATTGTCATGATTCTTGCTATAATCTCCCCCCCAAAAAAATAACTAATGTGAGTTTTAACTTTAGATCATCACAGTGAATGCTTTCTAGGACTTAAGGCTAGAAGGACCATTTAGAGAAGGGGTCATTTAGCCTAACTCTCCTCATCCATTTTACAGATATAGGGACCTGAGGCCCAGAGAAGTAAAGGCAAGTTTTGAACCCAGGTTCTCTAATGCACTTTAGAATATCAGAGTTGGAAGGGACCTCAGATTTCGTCTGGTCCAACCAATACCTGATAGGAGTCATCTCTATGCCATTTCTGTCTAGTGGTCATCTAGAGTCCATCTGAAGATCTTCAGTAATGAGGAACCTATTACCTCCTCAGATAGTATTTTCCTTTTTTGTATAAAACTAGTTTTCAGACAATTTGCTCTTAGTTTTGTCTTCAGGGACTGCAATCTCTTTTCCTTCTGACAGCTCTTTAAATACTTGAAGGCATTAATCATGTCCTGTCCCATCTTCTTGCCAACCCCTCACCTCCAGTCTTCTCTTAAGCTAAACATCCCCACTTACTTAAACAATGGCATGGTCCCCAAGCCATTGTCATTCTGGTCACCATCTTCTGAACATACCCCAGTTTTTCAAAACCAGGTTTTATGACATCAAATCCACTGCTCTTTCTATTACACCTATTGATGTATTCATCTTCTTGGGCAAATAACTTCCATTTACCCATTCCTTCTTTTTTTCACTTTTTAATCTTCTAGGCATTAAAAAATGGGGCTTGAGATTTTTAGGTCAAAGGCATATCTAAATAGAGAATGTTTAAAAAACTGGAAAAATTTGCCTTTGGCTGTAAAAGTTGCTTTGTTCTACTCCTTGTTATATGTCCTGTTTTCATAAGAATTTCATGTCTAGTTTGCTTTGGCCAAATAGTGATTTTTCTTATTGAGAACATAAAGTGCACTCACAGAAAGCTGATATACCATTCCTGCCCCCCCCCCCCCCCCCCAATCTGACAAGTACGAGGAGAATGAACATCAGACCTGGCAAACCTAGACTTACCAGCATTTGTCCTTTGTGCCTGGATTCTTAAACACTCTAGAATTTCCTTTTCCCAGAATCTAGTTCTCTTGTGTGAATCATTTGAGTCTAGTTCTCTGTTTTGCATGGTACGCAGAAGGAATTTAATGAGTTAGGAACAAATACGGGTCCAGGAAGTAACTAAAATCTTAACACTGAATTATAGAATCCCAAGAAATCTTATACCTTAGCGGGAATCCTCTCTATCATTTCCCCAACAGGTGGTCATTCAGATGCTGCTTGACAATCTTGTTATGGGGATGTTGCTACCTCTTGAACTAACCTATTCTTCATTTGGACAGCTCTAACTAATTGGAAGTTTCCCTTGACATCGTCTAAACTGTCCTCTCTTCATCCTCCACCTAGTTCTGCCATCCCGTATCATGATCTACATTGGATGACATAGGAGTCAGTCAGACTCATTATGACTTGTTCATGCAATGCTCAAAGTAATAAATCAGTTCAGTTGATTCAGTGAAAAACTCATTCTATCACTTGTCTGTCATTTGGTACCTTATAGGCAAAACTGATTCAACAACAACAACTTTTCAGCCAGTTGTTTTCTTACGTGTAACACAGCCCAAATACAGTCAGAGATCATAATGCATCTCAAAGGTTACTAGGACAACTCTGATAAGACTGTGTGAGTAAAGGTAACATTCCTTGTAATACTCACTAGTCACGCCCCTTCTTCTTTCTCACCCCCACCTCTTGTGAAAGCTAGAACTTGGAAGTGACAGAGATTGGTCATACACAGAAGTAAGTGAATCAGCTCTAGGCAGGCCCTGGCAACTCTACATTATTGCTGGTGCTTGTGTTTGCCCTGTTTGTAGTGTGATGAAGAACATTTGTATAGTAAAATATATAGGGAGATTCTTGGGTAGCTAGGTGGCATGGTTGGATAGAGTGCTGGTCCTGGAGTCAGGAAGGACTCATCTTCCTGAGTTCAAATCTGATCCCAGACACTTACTAGCAAGTCATTTAACCCTCTTTGCATCAGTTTCCTCATCTATAACATGAGTTGGAGAAGGGAATGGCAAACCCCTCCACTATTTCTGCCAAGAAAACACCAGTGGGGTCACAAAGAGTCAGACACAATTGAAAGCAACTGAACAACAGCATAGGTAGATTCTACTTTAGAGAAGAAGCAAGCATAGCATAGTGGATAGAGAGCTGGCCTCAGAGTTGAGAAGATCTAGATTCAAGTCCTGCCTCTGACACATAATGACTTTGTGACCCTGGTCAAGTCATTGAATCTCCCAGCGGCCCCAAGAAACTCTCTAAAACTACAAAGTGCAGAATTGTTCTTGACCTACATAAGCAGGAGTTTCTCAGCAGGAACTTCCTATACAGATGACATCATTGGTCTGTTTGCTAGATACTGTTGACGTCACTTCTTCCAACAAGTAATCTAGGATAGAAACTTAATGGGGAAAAAAGGAACTATTTTCCTTTTTAAAAGATAATATATATATATATATTTTTTCAATTAGCAAGCATTTACTTTTTCTCACTCCCATGTCCCCCCACCAGAAAAAAAAGCAAAGAATTTATAAGTTCAAATCTGCACAGTCAAGCAGAACAAATTCCCACATTAGCCATGCACACAAAAGTATGCCTTATTCTGCAAATGGAGTCCATCACTTCTATTTTTCTTCATCATGTTTTCCTTAGAGAAATATAACCTGTCTTCCTTTCTTTGACTTGAGCATTTCTAAAGTGAGTTGAATATAAGGTTTCAAGCAGTTTCAAAGACCTAGTTAAAATAGCAAGTGACTAATTAATAATATAATGTATAATAAAACAATAAATGATTAAATAATGTCTATGCAAATTAAAATGAAAACAATGTTTACAGCCAGATTTTTAAGTTGTCGGTAGAATGGCAAGCTTTCCCACTAGCCTACATATCAAGCCAAATCAAGCATAGATCTGAAAACTACAAACAAATTATCCCTCTGCATGTGCATGTACCTGACCCCGCATGTGCTGATAGGGGAAGGAGCAATGGCTAGGTTTCCAGCTGAAAATGTGGTTCATTGCTTCCTGCTATCTGTAACTTTTGCCTTGAAGTGAAGCTAGGGGGCGCCATAGTGCACAGAGTGCTGGCCCTGAAGTCAGGAAAACTGATCTTCCTGAGTTCAAATCTGTCCTCACGTATTTACTAGCTGTGTGACCCTGGTCAAGTCATTTAACCTTGTCTGCCTCAGTTTCCTCATCTATAAAATGAGCTGGAGAAGAAAATGGCAAACCACCCCCGTGTCTTTGACAGGAAAACCCTAAATAGGATCACAAAGAGTTGGACACGACCGAAATGACTAAAATACAACAGTATAATGCCATTTTATATATAGGCAAAAAAGCCTTATAAAAAGGATTTTGTGAAGCAGGAATACTTGTTTTGCTTCTATTAGGGTGGAGATCTATCTATCTACTATAGATAGATATGTATATGTATAGATAGACACATCCATCCATATATATGTATATGTATAGGTATACATATATATTCATACATGTGAGTGTGGATAGATAAATAGATAGATAATAGCTAACATGTATAGAGCACAAACTATATACCAGATGCTGTGTTAAATGCTTTACAATTATTATCTCATTTGATCCTCACAACAACCCTGGGAAATAAGTGCTATTAATGTCCCCATTTTTATATATAAGGAAACTGAGGAAAACAGAGGTTAAGTGACTTGTTCATTTGATCCTTACAACAATGCTGAGATGCAAGTGTTATTATTATTCCTATTTATTGGTTAAGGAAATTGAGGCATAAAGCAGTCAAGTGACTTGCCCAGGGTCACACAGCTAATAAGTGTCTGAGGTGATCTTTGAACTCAAGTCTTCCTGATTCCAGGCCCTGAGTTCTGTCCACTGTGCCATTTAGATAGATAGCTGGGATGGGGTGGGGAGAGGAAGAGAAAAACCAGTCCTCTCCATTCCCTCTTTACTTCCCACTCCCTTACTCTCACAGGTATCTTTTAGAGGAAGCTGACATGTCTACTTGTCAGAGATAGGCCACAGGTTTCCAGTTCTTGTGGTTAGCAGATCACTGAGTGTAGTAGCCTTGCTAACTCATCACAGTCTGCAGCCTCACATAGATGGTCTTTTCTGTTCGGACTTCATGCTGCACCCGTGGCCAACACCATTAGATGGCACTCATAACTAGAGAGAGGAACTCTGTTCCCTTGCAATTTTTTGGAGACTTTCCCCCCCTTCTCCTCCTTCTGTTCTAAACCTCTCCAAACCAGTGATTCCACCCACCTTCTTGAAAACAGAATTTTCTAGCTATGCTTTTTGCAACTCATGTCCTGCTTCAGACCCCCTCATCCCCCTCTCACCTATCCACCTTTGATTCTGGCCCCAGCCTCTGTTGTTATCCTGATGATCATCGTGCTCAGGGGTTCTCAGGTCCACAGAATGGCGATAAACACGCCTAAAAGAGGCCTACAAAGGGGCCGGCTTTCTAGAAGAGAAAGTCTGGGGCCACCAGCATTTATGCATATGCAGGATTTTTGTTGTTGTTTTGAGTGACGATGAAGGAAGGAAGAAAAAAATGAATGAGTAGAGCAACGGGATAAGATGCGGTGGAGTCACTGGTGGGGCAAGGGGACAGCAGGAATTGAAGGAATGTGGGGAAGGAGCTTGGGGGTGTGCTGGAAACAAGGTCCCTAAGAAAGGCATCTTGGCACCACACTGGGGGAGATGAAAGGCATGCTGCCCTTGTGTTTCTGCCTGTCTAGCTGCAGCTGCTGTCAAAGTCCCCTCTTTTTGGTCAAGGGTCAAGGGTGTAGATCTCAAAAAAATCCAGCAGCAGCAGCGGCAGCAGCAGCAACAAAGACCCTTGTTTTCCTCCGGTTACAGACCTCTGGCTGTAGCTCCTCTCCTCTCGCTGCGGCTCCTCTCTGTAGGTAGGGGCTGTGGGTTAGAGAGCAAAAGATTAGAGAAAATGAGAGAGGCCATGGCTTCCAGGTCCTTCAGTACTCATCCACATGTTTCAGTCCTTCCCTCCCCCTCCTACCTCCCCTCCTTCCCCAGCGCCAAAGCTAGCTTCCCTGGGCTCTCAGCCTCCCTCCTTCCTGAAGATGGAGAGAATTCTGTCTCCTGGGAACAATTAGATGTGAGAAAAGCATTTTCCCAAACAATTGCCAGGAAATATTGTCTTGACTGATACTCCTAAAGTAAGGCCGCCTTCTTGGCTGGGTTATTCTAAGGCTTGGATTGTGGAAACAGCAGTAAGTTGTGGTTCCAAAACCCCTAATCTGTCACATACCAGAGTCCTCCTACGACAATCCTCTCTTTTGGTTTTCCAGTGATAGATGCTCTTGGTACATTTGCACTAATAGCCTTGACCAGCTAACCCATTTGAGACCTCAGCTGTGCCAGCCTGTGTGTTGGTGGGAGGTCATTCCTTTGCTGACTCAATCCCAGACTGGGACTCATTGCTCCTTTCCACTCCATGAGTAATACCCAGGGCTTTTCCTCTTCAAAGCACCTTCCCAGCATTAACTACTTAGTCACCCCCACCCCCACCCCCAAAGCGCTACCAGGGAGGTTATTATTATTTTAATTATGCTCTGGCAAGGAGGGAAAACCTAGGAAGATAAGTGGAAACCCAGCCCTAGGCTAGCCAGGAAACTAAGGAGGGAGTCAGCATTAGGGCTCAGGACTTTATGGCTGATTGGGAATTCCCAGAACATCAGAGGCTGGGCAGTGATGATATAACACAGGGCGCAAGCAGAGGCCTGACTTTGGGTAGGAAGTAAGGGAGCAATGGGATCTTGGGGGGAAGAATGGAGAGCCTTGGACCTATGGCAAAGGTCTTTTTTTGCCAATCTCAGAATTTGTTCACAGAGAGAGGGTAAGTCTTGCTTGCAGTATATAGCCTGAAGAGCCATCCAGACACTTGGTTTGGACTCTTATTCAGACGCTCCCTAGAGTGTAGTGTGTGAGCACACACATAAAATTACATTACTCTACTGTGCTGCTGGCAGGATCTGTGAAATCTATCTCAAAATACTCCTTTCTATTTTCTGAGTGAGCATTTTGAATGACTCCTGTTAGTAATAATAATAAATATCACCAAAGCACTTTGCAAATCTAAAGTGTGAGATTGAGGGCTCGGAATAGAAAGGATCCTCCATTTCTCTTATTTACCGAATTGAAGGTTTGTCCTCCTTTTTGGGTGTGCTGTGTGAATTTCAGAAATAAGTCTGAGTCTTGGTGATAGGGTGTGAACTAAAGCACCTTCTGGAAGGTAGACAGCAGAGTAATCCTTTCAGTCAACCCTGTCTGCAGCTGCTTTTTATAAACTTGGCATAAATATGTACTCGGGAAGGCCAGGACTGTATCTGGAAAATATTTTCCACCATCTGAAACACACACACACACACACACACACACACACACACACACACACACACACACACACATGCACACACGGGATTGGAAAGAAAAAAGTGCCCAGAAATTGTGCTCAACATGGAGTGGCTTCACTTGTGGTTTTTTTCCATTACTTCCTCAGCTCATTTTTCTGCTGCCAATTTTAGAAGGCCATAAGTCATAGTTGTTGTTAAACTTTTTCAGTTAAAATGTAACTCCAAGAACAAAGTCATATGATCTGCTGTAGTCAAATAGTCCTTGGAGGAAGCTGAGACGGGAAGAAAACCTTTCCTCACTTGGTGAAACTCTGTGGCCTAGGTCTGTCTGTCTGTCCATGGAATCTCCATTTACGTGCTTACAGATGTGTATCACAGGTCCTTCTGAGGATCCTGAGGTTCTAGGAGAGATGAACAGATCTCCATGTATACAAATGGGAAGAGGAGATGGATCAGATTTTAAGTATTTAGTGTAAATTAGGAGCAGGATGTGGTCTTAATAGATAATCTTTTATATCTATTCTCCCTCCTCACCCCTTTTCTTTTGGAATCCATGGCCCCATTCAAGCTTGGCTAATCTGCCATCTCCTCCTTGATGACTTTCCCCAAACTCCAAATTGTTAGTGTTTTTGTGCCCTTCCAAATTAGGATTATAGATTCAGAGCCAGATTTTAATGCCTCTAAAGTCTGAGTCCAGTCACTGTGTATTACAAATGAAGAAAACTGAGGCCCAGAGAAATTTATTGACTACCCAGTAAGTGTCTGAGGCAGGATTTGAACATGTATTAGTGATTCCATGTTAAATACTTTCTCTGCAGTAGAATATAAGATCCTTATGTGTTCATTTTTGTCTTTGCAACCCCATAACCTAGCATCATACTTGACCCATTAAGACTGGACCTATGATTTCATTGGTTTAAAGAACTCCCAGGGAGGAAGCTATCTATTAATGCAGATTTGCACTTGTTTTGCAACTTAGGAGTCTTAGAGAATCATTGGGTCACTGAGAAGTTAAATGACTTGTACAGGGTCACATAGCCAGTCTGTTGTCAGAGTGTGGATTCCAACAGAGGTCCTTCTGACTGGAAGGTCAGTTCTCAATCAGTAGAGTGCATAGTAGAGAGTTAATAAATGCTCATCAGATTGGATGGCATTGTTTGATTTTCCGTAAGTGATACAGAGTAGAGAGGAGTTTGGGCAAGTTTTGATGACTTCCATTGGGATCTCTAAGTGGGTTAACTGTTAGTTGGGGGGCAATCTCTGTTTACCTCCATGCTGGCTTTCCTTTGGTGAACACCTGGCCCTCTGACTCCTAGATCCATGAAAATTAGAATCAAGGGGGAAAGTACTTGTTTCAGAGACTGTCATTGCTACCACACATTGACTTAGATGGTCTGGAAATTTTTCTTTTTCTTTTTTTCTTTTTTTTCCCCTCAAGAGGGCAAATTCCAGGGTCCCGGATTGAATCAATATATATTCACCTCTGCCCCACAATGTTTGCAACTGTATCTCCAACTGCATCTATCAAATCATGGATTACTAGAGCTGGAAACGACCTCAGTGATCACCAGCTCCAACCCTTTCATTTTACAAATAACTTACCCACCCTCTTGGCGGATAAGTCTGCTTTCTCTAATGTCACCCAACAAGTTAAGAGGTTTGGTCTAACAGTTTTCATCACAAATCTCTCTGATCATTTTTCTCCATTCCTAAACTGTCTTATATTTATCTTGTAAAATAGGTACATGTTGTCTTCCCCAGTAGAATGTAAACTCTTTGGGAGCAAGGATTGTTTCATTTTTGACTTTGTATCCCTAGCTGTATCTTTAAACTATATCTTTAGTTTCACTAACCTTTGATTTCCTTTGTAATCCTATGTATTTTATTTTATGCATTTAAAAATATTATTTTGAGAAGGGGATCCAAGCTTCACCGACTGCCAAAGGGGTCTATGACCCAAAAAATAAGTTTAAGCACCCTTGTTCTAAGGCAAACTTTCATTCCATTACTACTTCTTTTCTCCTCATTTCTCACCCTTCCTTTTTATCCCTCTCATTGTCTCCTTGAATCAGGCTTAGGTGCATTGAGGCTAGCTCAAGGCCAGGCTGGGATTGCATTAGCCTTATGCCTGGATCATGAACATAGAAAACAAGTCAGTGCTTTATTTTATTATGAGGGATATACAGTGAAGACTAACAGGCAAAGCCCTTGAACTTGTCAGGTGACTCTGGAGAAGGTACTTCACATGTTAGTCACCAATTTCCCATCTCTCAGGTGGGTGGATATTCCTTATATGCCTCATAGTGAAGCAGATGTAATGCAAGCACAGCATTTTCTGTCCCATAGCTGACCTCCTAGGCAATAGTGTTTCCCACCCCACTCCCTCCCTCCCCCATAGCCCTATCCTTTGATGGTGGATAACATCAATCACTACCTCAAGTCTCAAACAGTCTGGTCTTTGAGATCTTGTTTTTCCTCTCTACCTTCTTTCTTCCCTCTTCCTGTTTGGGAATTCTCCAAAGTATTCTTGGTTTAAGAATAGAGCTCCACCTGGAACCCTAGTCACCAGTAACACTGCTCTCTTTCACACCTTCTCAAATGAATTACCTAATTCAGCATATTGGAATCCTGGAGGGACAAGCAGGAAGACAGACTTGAACAGCCAGCCTCAAAACATTTTCTTGGGGAAACACAAAAGCCAATCCACCCTTAGAGCCCTTCAACCAGGCTCCGTGTTGAAGCCAGTTTTTCTACAGATGTCCTTTTAAAAAGCATATGTGACAGACCAGCTCCAATCTTTATTCCAAGTGTGCAACGTACCTGATAGCGTTCGCTCCTCCTAGGACCTCCTTAACTATCTATACTCAGTCTGCAGAGAACTATTTAAAAGACTCAGGAAATGGAGACATATTTTTCTCTTCCTCCCCTTTTCCAAAAACAGTTAGGCTTTCCTGGAAAAACAAAACAAAACAAAACAAAAAACAAGTATGGTTTTAAAAAAAGAAAGAACTTTTGGAAAACCAGTTCTGAACACTAATTTTTTGAAACTCTCCCTCATTGGTTCATGCCCCACCCTCTCTTGTGTCATTTTCTTTGCTTCTAACTCCATGACAGCTCGTCCTGGGAGGAGGGAGGAGATGGATGAATGATATGGTCTTGCTGGGAGTTGTCTCTCATAGCATAAGGAGGAAGGCAGATCAACTGAGACAGCTCGAAACAAACATTTATGCATAGGCATACAAAATACCTGCATGTAATATACATGGAAAGGGATTGCACCTGTGATTTTATGGGTATAGAGAATTCCTAGTTAAGGGAGCTATGGCTACTAATGGAAGTCTGTTTGTATCTTATCTGCAACTTAGAGCTTTAGAAAGTTGCCTAGAACACTGAGAGGTCAGTGACTTGAGCAGAGTCACACAGCTAGTATGTGTAAGAAGTGAGACTTGAACTTAGGATTTCCTGATTTTGAGGTCAGCTCTCTATCCACTATGTCAATGCTGTCTCTCATAATGTAATTTAAATAGGCATAAAAATGCACGTTGATGAGAGTATACATGCACCTATATTCGTGGTATGTATTACAGTGACATTCAAACACAGCCTTGATGAGATTGGGGGTTGGTGGGGACACACCATTAGTTACCTAATTGTCAATATGAAGATTATAACATGATTATTATTTATTTCTGTGCACCTTTATGTTATGCAGCAGAATTACTTACTGTTATTATCATTGTTGATAATAATATTGGCGATACAGCTATTGATGAACTCTATTCATTTAAAGCCATCTGGTCCACATTCCTTGCCTTTGATGAGGGAAAAACCTATTCTGAGTTTCAGCTGGAACGCTGCCTTTCAATTAATGTAACGGCAGATGCCGAATCCTCCTGCATTAGCAGGAATAGGATGCTTAGCCAGGCTCTTAAATACTGGCTTAGTCCAAGAGGGAGAGATCCTTTCCTATTGATTGTGGTTTGGTATGCAGTTCAGGC